CCTAACGGGTAACCGGGGCTCCGGCTCGACGTGCAGGAGAAGGAACGGGGTGGTTTTTAGTCAGTAAGAGTCTGACACTTCCTCCCGCCTCACCCAGGCGGGGGCAGTCATTCGATGATTTTCCCCCCTTAAAAAAAAAAAAAAAAAAAGGTACCCTCTTTACTTTATAAAAATTGACTAGATGTATTAATTATAATAAAAAAAAAATTGTATGACAAGGGCACGGACCTTGAGTCCGTGGAGAATTAATCTGTAATATTATAAAAAAAGATTATAATTAAATAGACACCATTCACAAACGGTGAAGGAAATCATCGTAAGGAAACCTGGACTTAAAATTAATTACAAGTTTGAAGTTGAGAACCCGCATAAAGAAAGCGTGGTGACTATCGTCCATACCTTCTGCGTGCGAAAAAAGGCTTTTGGTTAGCAAATGACAATATTGATGATTGATGATTAAATGTGTGTATCCTTTCTGTTTTTTATTGGCGTACAAAAAAGTATTTCTATTCTATTCTAATGAAAAACAACATCATTATCACATATAGCGAAAAAAATAGAAAAGAAATGAGTGGTGTTCGTTTAAAATTTGGTTTTCGCGGGTTTTTTTTTTTATTAATCTTTTGTATTGTTATTGGTGGCATATTTTTACCTAATAAGAAGAGGGCTTAGTACACACGGCCACACATCAATCTATACAAAACCAGATTATCCTGGTGTCGCGTCGCATCATCTTTCTGCACATCTAACGTTCAGTTTATACTGGTTTTATAAAGCTCGATGTGTAGCCGTGTGTACCTATGAGCTACGAGAGAGAAGTACCACAGATGAGGCCCAATAAGGCTGAAGCCGATACGGAGCCACGGAGAACTTAACGGGTTACCGGGGCTCCGGCTCGAAGTGCAGGAGTAGGAACGGGGAGGTTTTTAGTCAGTAAGAGTCTCACACTCCCTCTCACCTCACTCAGGCGGGAGAAGCCATTCGATGATTTTCCCCCCTTAAAAAAAGTACCTACGAGCTTGTTTTACGTTTCCGCGCCGAACACGATAATGTTTCGTTTCGGTTTCTCGTAATAAGACCAAACCTGAAGGTTGTTTTGACCTGGGCACCAAATCTCACTGTCAATTGTATTGATTTATTTATTATATCTCTTTAATGCACACAAAACTAAGTTACATAAGGCGGACTTAATGCCATCTGGCATTTTCTACCAGTCAACCGTTGGGTTATGTAGAGCAGCGAAAATGTGCGGAAAAATAAAAAAAAAACATAACATAACGTAACATCACGCCTTTTTATCCCCGAAAGGGTAGGCAGAGGTGCACCTTACGGCACTTAATGCCACTGTACAATGTAACACCCACTTTTCACTATTTATGTTATGAGTCCCATGTAATAGGGGGTGAGCCTATTGCCATATACCGGGCACATTTCCAGACTCCATGCTACTATTGAGATTTTTAAAAATCCAGTAATACTTTGCCTAACCCGGTAATCGAACCCGAGACCCCTTGCGACCACTCGGCCAACGAGGCAGTTCTATATATAAATAATTAACTAATCGTAACTTAATATTTTATACGTCATTATTATAATACAAGACGTCAACGTGCACCATTGTACGTAGGTAGCCCATAACTATAGTTCAGGGAAAACCGAGGGATAAACTTTCAAATGTTCCTTATACAGACCCGTTACTTTCACCTTTTCCGTAAAAAAAGTATAACTTGATATAAAACGCAAAGATGCGCTTCCTCGTAACGGACAACTCATGACTCTTAAAAAATGCCTAAAAATATGTTTCCGTCGTGATTGCATTCTAAACAAATACAAAAAAGTCGAGGAAAACCGTTAGATACCTATTTCCTCTTACATTTACATTATATCTGAAAAATGTACAAAATTTATCGATAAAATTGAGTTCACTTTATTTGGGCCAGATAATTCATACAAAGAATCCGTGGAGCAGGAAAATGTCCAATAGCTCTATGACAATAGTAACAATTATAATCTAATTTGTTGTTATGATGAATGCATCCCAAGGAGTGCTAATCCCCTTGTGATGTGATTTTGATTGTCGTACTTCGTTTGCTAAGGGGTAGGCAGAGATATACTCAGTTTTCCCAATTTATGTAAGCTCACCTCCATATAAGAAGACTACAAGACAAACGCATACACTCGCAATCGTAACTAATAAGATTTTACAAGCTAGTTTTTTAAAAAGAAGAACACTCTTATAGATTTCTGGACTAACAGTTCCTTTGAGGAAGAAATAGATTAAAAATGCATTAAGAGTCATAAAGGAAAGCGTACCTACACACTTTTCCTTCCTGTACTGCAGATGAGATAAGAAAAAAGAAAACTGAACTGCAATTCATAAATTGTGGTAGATCAATTATTTTTGATATTTTCTGTACGGTTTACCTGCTTAGTGCATGTTTAATGAATTTCATTCAGAACAGGTAAATGTGACGGTATAGCTTTTACATTTAGCTTTGCCCGCGAGAATACAATATCACTTAAAATAACAATAAAAGGAATAAATAATAACCATCATGTCGGTATCTCAAAATGGATGTAGGGAGGGGTCTCGTGGAACTAAGGAGCTACTCCTCATTGATATGGTTGTTAGCCAACAGGTTCGTCGGTCCCGAAAAGATCTGTCTACATGCTGGATAGACTATAAAAAAGCATATGATTCTGTGCCACATACATGGCTCCTGAAGGTGCTGGAGTTGTATAAAATACATGCAAGTTTACGCGCCTTCTTGGAGTCATGTATGAGGCAGTGGAGCACCGTGCTTTGCTATCCGGGATGTAGACAAATCCAAGGGAATGAAGAACCTGTAAGGATAGTACGAGGAATATTCCAGGGTGACAGCCTGAGCCCACTATGGTTCTGCTTGGCCTTGAATCCTCTAAGTACTCTACTGGAGGATTCAGGGCTAGGCTATCCTTTGCGGAGAAGGGGTCTAGTTATATCCCACTTACTTTACATGGATGACCTCAAGTTGTTTGCTCCAAACAAGAAACAATTGATGGAACTACTGAATATAACTGAAAAATTTAGTAGTTCCATCAGAATGGAGTTTGGAGTAGACAAGTGTGCGGTCATGCATGTAAAGCGAGGAGGGATTGTGGAATCTGAGGGACTAGAACTCTCAGATTTCACAAAGCTGAGATCACTCTCCGCAAACGATACATACAAGTACCTGGGTATGTCAGAAGGATTAGGCATTAATGGACCGGACATGAAGCAATCGTTACAGGAGCGCTTCTTTGGCCGCCTGAATAAGGTACTGAAAAGTTCCTTATCAGGCGGAAACAAAGTGCGAGCCTTTAACGGTTGGGTCATGCCAGTCCTAATGTATTCTTTTGGTATACTCAAGTGGACTCAGACTGAACTTGACACCCTGGATAGGCGAGTCCGGACCCTGCTGACTGCAAATCGCATGCATCACCCTCGTTCGTCGGTCATGAGGTTGTACATCCCGCGGAAGTGTGGTGGTCGAGGCTTATTAAATGCTAAGACCCTTCACAACCGTGAGGTGTGCAGCCTCAGGGAATATTTCCTGAAAGTCAACGAGGGTATGCATCGAGAAGTAGCAGCGGTGGACAATGGATTCACTCCGCTATCCTTGGCAAAAGAGAACTGGCGCAAACCTGTGGTACTGAGCGTCAATGATCGCAAGGCGGTATGGCATAGCAAGGAGCTCCACGGACGCTTCTTCCGGGCCCTTCATGGGCCCAGTGTAGATTTTCTAGCGTCCGTGTCTTGGCTACGATTCAGTAATCTCTTTGGAGAAACTGAAGGATTTGTCTGTGCAATTATGGACGAAGTTATCCTTACGAATAACTACCGGAAATATATAATTAAGGATGGGACGGTTGACATATGTCGGGCATGTCATAGTCCTGGTGAATCCATTAGACATATTATTTCTGGTTGTGGTCGTTTGGCTAACAGTGAATATTTGCATAGGCATAATCAAGTAGCCAAGATTATCCATCAGCAACTTGCTTTACACTATCGACTTGTTGAGTCTGAGGTACCGTACTACAAGTATGTGCCCGACCCAGTTCTGGAAAATGACCATATCACGTTGTACTGGGACCGGTCTATCATCACTGACAGGACTATTATAGCCAACAAACCTGATATAGTGGTGATAGACCGACAAGTGCGCCGCACGATGATAATCGATATCACTATTCCTCATGATGAGAACCTCGTGAAAGCTGAAAAAGATAAACAAATCAAATATCTTGATTTGGCTCACGAGGTTGTCGACATGTGGAATGTAGATTCGGCTATCATTGTGCCGATAGTCGTATCGGCCAATGGGTTAATCCCTAATAGCCTCGACAACCACCTTAGGAGGCTAGCGTTAGGTAGTTGGGTCAAGGGCCTGATACAGAAGGCAGTTCTGCTTGAAACGGCACCTATCGTGAGGAGGTTTCTGTCTCTGGAGCCCTAACCACCGGTAGCTTGGACCATGCTCCCGCTACTGGTCGGCTCCTATTTTTTATATTTTTAAATATTATTTTTGTCTTTATAAGTAGTATTTAAAAATGTATTTTATAGAGAATTTTGAAATAAATATATGAAAGGAATAAAATATCTTAGCTTATGGAATAAGGGGTAAACGAGGAGACGAATGCGGATCGTATTTCATGGACACCCACAACACCGGAGGAGTCACAATTACATTGCCGGTCTATTGAAATGCAAGACTTTTTGGGGTTTCCCCAATATAATGTCATAAGAAAATAATTTATGGGTGTAGGTCATGTTGATGTTTATAATCATAACATGATATTATAAATATTTTTGTAAAAGTATTGTATGTTTCAGGCGTTGCTAGTCATGTTATAGTATTATTCAATAGTTCACCTTCTGACATAAGGTACAAGGTACAGTTTCAGTATTCTTGCCTAATTTATAATACCAAAGTTCCCAAAATATTCAACTATTAAGTAGGTACACTTACGTTCTATTAATCTGTGAATGAGCTTCCAAACTTAAATGAGTTATGTTTAAGTATTAAGTCGATGGTATTATGTACAAACAGACAACTTGTTCCAAATGATTGATGTATAAAGTTATACCGGTTCATAAACGTAAAGTTATATTTTCCTCGTTATGCATTATAAAAAATACTGGTTCCATCCGTTTGTACGGTCAGTCGACACGTGAACTTGGAAACGAGTGGTTCTGCAAGGAGCATGTGCAATTTTTTTTAAGAAAAGTCATTTTATCACTGAAAATGATGTTTCTTGGGTTTCTATTCGGAGCTATGTGCCTCGGACTGGTTTGTGGACGTGAGACAGCTTTTGTTTTTTTTCTTATTTATAACATTTGGATAAATAGTTGTTTCATAACATGTTATGTTAATATCTGTTGTGATCATCGCTAAATGTTTATACCTAAACATTTATAACACGAGAGCTTGATTAAAATCACTTCATAAAGAGTATCTATAGTGTATTTGTTTTCTAATTGTGATACGAGACCGGTTTTAAAATTAATTTAGATTTCGTGATTTTTTGAACAGTGCAGTGAATGTTATTAACATAAAGTTATTTGATTTCACGGTTGACGTCGTAACCACTGGCTGCCACGTACTATGTATCGGGTTCGATTCCCGCACGGAGTAACTCTTTGTGTAACCCACAAATTTTTTGTGTAGGTGCCATGTGTATACGAAATTCTATTGTAAACGCACCCGTACGCAACTGTAGAAAATCCTAGGCTGAGGCAATGTTTTAAAACATAAAATTAGAAAATAGCTACAAAACTCTATAGTCACTTTAATAATTTTTATTTTTCATGGTGGAAACCATCTAGCAAATGTTAATGTGAATAATTTTGTTTTTTTCTTACAGAATATTCACAATGTCAGAAACCAGTCGGAGAAGTTGGTGAATACTTACCAATCAACCAATGTGCACATTTGAAAAAAATATTAGACAAGCCAAACAAGTCTGCTGAAGACATAGCTTTGTTGAAGAAATTGCACTGTGGCTTTGTGGGCAATATGCCTCAGGTAAGGATGGAGGTGAAATAGTCATAATTCACTTAATATATATATATACTTAACTATGTTAGTGAGCCAAAATGTGTTTCCATCTGATAGATTAAAATCAGAGGACTTTTGGTATCAAGCAAAAAGACTGCTTCTCCAAAAATAAATCTTTTATAAACATTTAAAAAACCTTCAACTCGCTCTTTTTGCATTCGGTTAATAAAAAAAATAAAACCTTTGTAATAAACACTTTTCTGGAAACCGCACCAAAATCGGATCAGCCAATCGCGAGATTAACACACAGGTCAAACTGAGAACATTATTTTTTTCTTTTTGATGTCGTTTAATGGAGGTGAAGATACTCATAATGAGGATATGGGTATTCAACTATCAAAGTTATTTGTTCAAAAAAGTCCACCCACCATTAGCATGTTTTTTAAAACTAACATAATATAACATCACGCCTTTTATCCCCGAAGGGGTAGGCAGAGGTGCACATTACGGCACTTAATGCCACTGTACAATGAAACACCCACTTTTCACTATTTATGTTATGAGCCCCATGTAATTGGGGGTGAGCCTATTGCCATATACCGGGCACATTTCCAGACTCCGTGCTACTACTGAGATTTTTAAGAACCCAGTAATATTTTGCCCGACCCGGGAATCGAACCCGAGACCCCTTGCCCGGTAGTCGCACTTGCGTCCACTTGTCCAACGAGGCAGTCAGTTTTTTAAAACTGTGATTTGTTATACGAAAATTTATTGAGCTTTTATTATTCTTACTAGGTATGGTGCGCTAAACAGGGTGGATCTGAAGCAGGAGCGTGCATCACCCCTGATGGTAAACCTGGAACATGTATAAACGTATACTCATGTCCACAAATCTCAAATCTTCTCAAACCACCTGTGTCCTCACAAAATATGGCTTTCGTGAGGAATTCTGCGTAAGTAGCATTCTAGGACTATCGAGTACCATCACTTGTGTCACGATGTCAGGAGTAATTTTATTTACAATTCACAGTTGCAGAGGCCCCCATAAATTTAACGTATGCTGTGGAATATCCTCCGCTAGCCCAGATGGCGATTTCCTTGATTCAAGAACGCGGGATGAGAATAAAGCGTGCCGACCTCATATGACTGCTTATCCTCCTGCTCCCAGCACTGGTTGCTGTGGCTCTTCAGCTGAAGTCGGCAATAAAATCGTAGGAGCGGGTTAGTATTATTTTATATGTACTAGCGACCCGCCCCGGCTTCGCACGGGTGCAATATGCATGTATTATACATACAAACCTTCCTTAAGAATCACTCTATCTATTAAAAAAAACCGCATCAAAATCCGTTGCGTAGTTTTAAAGATCTAAGCATACATACGGACATACAGCGAAAGCGACTTTGTTTTATACTATGTATTGATTGTGCAGTTTTATGACTGAACTTTAAATGAATTCAATTTCTAAACTGGGAAAAGTGTAATTTTGCTTAAAGCTATTCCTTATTGTCTATTGTCTGACTCATTTCTTCCACTGCCGTCAAGATAAGAAAAGTGGGAAGCCCCTTAAAGAGTCGCGAGAACCTTAACATAACGTCACGCCTATTATTCATCCTCTAACTATAATATGAATTCAATTTTAATTTTCATATATTGTTAATTAGGTATATACCTATGTTTGAGTTCTACGTAATGGGTTCAAACTCCGAGATACTACTGAGAATTATTGTAAATCAAGAAACTAATTATAAAACCTAGTTCCCTTTTGCTAGTACCACAAAGAGTTGAACATCGAGCCTAGTGGCGCGATCTGTGTCATTGGAGATAAGCGTATGTTCAATAAAGGACGGATACGGGTCGAAAATAATTAAGAGTCGAAAATAAGACGAGTCAAATTCAAATGTCACTGCTTTATTTATGATGTTTATAATTTGCTATTTTGCTTGCTCAAAAATAATTTTAACTCGGCAAACGCCAATACAAAATATTTAATATTAATATGTGATGACGTCACAAGTCTGTATCTCATACAAAATCCATTGGCATTTCGATAAAAGTATTGAATTTTACTAGTTAGGTATAAAATATCGTGTTTTCCAGGTGGTGAAGCAACGGAAATAGACCAATATCCGTGGACTGCACTGATAGAGTATGAGACTAAGCAGGAACTCCTTTTATGTGGTGGTGTCTTAATCAGTGGAAGATATGTCCTCACTGCTGCTCACTGTATTGCTGGCGTGACACTGAAGAATGGAACTCCGTAAGATACTTATTATTTTAAGATCACGTTTCGTTTCTGCTGATTAAATGGATTGAAAGACGATGTAGTGACAAGGATTGAAGAGGGAATGCTACGATACAATTAATATGGAAGATGCCTATATCATATTATACTATTAGACTAGATTGATTAAAACTTAACTTTTAGTTTCAAATAAATTGTTCATCTTTTTTATTACAATTCGCAGTTACTCAAGGATTTCCCAATAGTTGTGATCATAAAAATTATTATTAAAAGCAGAATAAAAGTTTTTTTTTAATGGGAAAAAACGTTTTGCCGTCTGGTAAATACCCAAATGTTATTAAGACGATTCTTAAAGACATTGAATCCGTGTCCTTGATGATAGTCGATTTATTTTGCTCAATTAATGGATTTATTTTTTGGGTACATAAGTACTAAATACTAATATTAAATAAAATAGTATATAGATATAGATACTAACTTGTAAGCAATTAATACATATTATCAAATAATTGTCATCGTCGATAGTGTGATATTAATATGGTGTTTTAAATAATTATCAAATATATTTCTGGATAAGACGACGACGAAATTGAAAATGTAACCGTGGTTCCCATTTCTGAACAAAAATTTATACTGACGTCGAATGATTGATTAAATGTTTATTGCGATCTCATGGCGGAATGCGATCTCATAGCGCTGTCATTCCAGCGATAAGTCCCCTCTTTCAGAAGAGGCTTGAGAGACGCTACGGCGTCCTCACCTACCGCCTGACGCAGGTGCTTACCGGACACGGTAGTGTCGGTAGGTTCCTGTTTCGGATTGGGCGGGAGGAAACGCCCGGGTATGATCACTGCGAGGACCGCCCGGAGGACACAGTATAGAGCATAGGGTGGCGATGTGCCCTGCGTAGGCTGAGCACCGTCGTGTCCTCAGGAATGTGATCGGCGACGGCGATGGCGATCTCTCGCGTCCGTCTGTCCGTTCAGACTATGGCACGGAGCGAGGGGGTCTGGGATATCGTCTCCTCCTTCTGCGAAGCAGTCATGCTAGCTAAGGAGGAGGTAGGACGCGTGAGGGAACGAATCTCCTTACGCTCCAGCTGTCACGAGAGACACTCTGGGTGTCGGGGCTCGCGAGACGATCTCCGGCCACGATCAGGGGCCTACGGATGGCAAACACGGGTGTTTCGCCACCCGACGAGAACCAGACCCGTGCGTACGGCACCTCGCGTTCCGCACGCGGAACAAGTCATTCGATGAGTAACCCCCCCCCCCTCCTCCAAAAAGCCGAAATATAATAATATAATTGAAACATAATTGACTCATTTTATGGTTAAGTGATCGCAAAACCTTAAATCCTAATCTAACTTTTTAATTCCGAATCTGTTTCGAAAGTGTTTTTTTTTAATTTAAACGTGCCTCTTAGGTGAAATTAAGGGAATAATTTAACTTTGGCATACATTTCAGAAAATTTATACGTCTGGGAGAGTACAACATTACCAACGAAGGTCGTGACTGCAAAGTCACATCTGGAGGTGGGCAGGACTGTACTGAAGGTGTAACTAGAATAGAAATCGAAAGGACAATTCCTCATCCAGAATACAATCCCATCAAAACAGCAAGATGGAATGATATTGGCTTGATTAGGTTGAAGGAGGTTGCACCTTATACAGGTTTGTATATTTGTTAAATTTTGTATTTTGTTTTTATACTTCGACCTTAAATAATATATTAATTTATACCACAAATTGTATAATTTTAATAATCAAAACACACTGATCCTATAAATATAAAGGTTCAGTCATTATTAGCTATTAGTTGGTATGAATTGAAACAGCCACTTTTAAACGCGTAGGTACTTTTTTTGGTGTTTACAGTAGATAGGAGATCTAAGCGTACATATATCTGCTGTCTCTCTCTTTATCTACTTTTCTCTCTATTGCCAAAATTAATCAGCGTTAATTTTGTCATTTTCATTTATAAACTCAACTCAATATAAATGCTACATCACATTTATTGAAACGTTTTCCTTATTTACCTTCTCGTATAGTCTGCTTTTTGGCAAAAAATAACAACCTCATAAAATGTTAATACAATTTTTGGTCGAATAAACCAGTTTTCCTGCACACATGCGCATTTCTAAACGTTCTGTGTACCTATTACTTAAGAAAATAATTGAAAAGAAGACAAAAGTGCACATATATCTTTTCATGAGACTTCTTTTTTAATGATACACTGGAACTGGTATCATCCTTAGTTGTCTTTCACTATTCATTGTCATAGTCCCCATTTGTCACTTCGTAACTACCTTATTTTATGAGGGGAAATCATTTAACAGCTTCTCCCGCCCTAGGTGAGCCTCTTGTTAGACTCTTACTTACTAAAAATCCACCCCGTTCCTATTTTTGCGCTGAACCAGAGCCCCGATAACCCGCGAGGTCATGGGAAACTCTAGTCACTCAATTACTACCAAGATTCACAATTCGTTTTTTTTCTTTTTCTAGATTTTATCCGGCCCGTCTGTTTACCAACGAAAGATATAACTTTATCAAGAAATAGGGATGCTTTCTTTACTATGTTCGTCACTGGATGGGGTGCAACTGAAAACAAAAAATTTAGTGACGTCAAACTTGAAGTGGAGGTACCCTTTGTACCACTGGAAGTAAGTTGAGGATCTTAACATTTTTTTGAAAAGGATTGAGCTAATTTACATAGATCAAAATACTAAATGACTTACTTATTACTTGGTGTTTTTGAACTTCCATTCATCGAAGAGGTAGTTAGAACCTCGTATTTAATGAATTAGTGTAACACTCAAAATCTCAAAAATTAAACAACAATAAACCTAACTTGCGGCTGAAAACCAAGACTTTCTTCAGACTCGTATTTGATAAAGAATGCCATCAACATTGTATGTGTCTAAAACGCAGATCCACGCGAGACACAATGTATTTTGTATTGTTTAACGAACAAAAATTTATTTTAAAAAATCTATTACAGCAATGCCAACCAGCGTACAGCTCAGACATTCACCCATCTCGAAAACTATGGAAGGGGCAACTTTGTGCTGGTGGTAGAAACGGCACAGACTCTTGCAAAGGCGATTCCGGAGGACCATTGATGTACGAAAATAATAAATTATTCGAACTGGCTGGGGTCGTCAGCTTTGGCAAAGATCCATGCGGAATACAAGGTGTACCAGGAGTCTACAGTAACGTTTACGAATATAGAGATTGGATTAGAAGTGTTATCGTTCCTTAATGGTTATAGCTTTAAACTTTAATTAACTCAAAGTACTTATTAAATTAATAACTCGAATAGTTTTTGATTTCTTTTCCTGCCCTCAAAATACGTCAGAAGTCTGCTGTCGTCAGAGGGATGTGATGACGTAAAAATTACCGTTACAAAATGCTTTCATTTGCATGATGCATCCTATTGGGTGCCATCACGCGTCATCCGCTCGTGTGTCATTTTTAATATTTTCATTCTTACAATCATGCCTAAATGTTCAGAAATCGATAATTATATTAAATTAAAAACACATATACATACATTCAACCTACAAATACACACCTTCGTCTCTTAGGGATAGACAAGACAAAAACCACAACACACTACCTAATCCAACCATCTTAGCAACAACACATATTAGCATAGCATGCTCTTAGAAAAAATTCAAGCATGTAAAAATAAAATACCATGGAAAACATGAAATAGAAAAAACATGGAATATTACATTTGATCTCCTAATTTCTAAACGTCGATGAAATTGTACAGGACTTTCAACTCCTAGCCATTGAGGAGTTATATGTATAATAGGAGCCAGGTTAATCTAATAATAGATTAGAGAACTAAACTATCAATTCTTATAATGTACAGTTATAAAAAAATACTTTTATAACTGTACATTTTAAGTGTGGAATAGCCATGCTTCGGCACGAATGGGCCGGCTCGACCGGAGTGTTACCACGACCTCACAGAAAACCGACGTGAAGCAACGCTTGCGTTGTGTTTCGTCGTGAGTGAGGTTATCGAAGGCCCAATAACCCCCTCTGCAATCTCTCCAATCCCCGAATCTCCAACAGCCCACAAATTCTTGATCTCCAAAAGGCCACTAATGCCTGTAACGCCTCTGATGTTTCAGGTGTCCATGGGCTTTTGAGGAAAGAACTACAACAGTTTGAGCGGACCCGTTCTACAAACATACTGTCATACAAATCTGTCCTCTTTATCTTTCTAATATTATAAATATGAAAGTTTTTTAAATGAATCTGTGTGTATGTTTGTTGCACAATGACGTCAAGACGATTGAATGGATCAGGATGAGTTTGAGTGAGTTAAGAGTGATCGTGAAGATCGTCGTGTGAGTTAGGTTACCGGAGGCCCAGTTACTGCCCCCCCTCTCCTAGTGTCCCCGATTCCCGAAACCCCCACAATCCCCCAAATCCCGAAACTCCCAATTCCCAAAAGGTCGGTGACGCATTTATAACGCCTCTAGTGTTCCGGGTGTCCATGGGCGACGCCGATTGCTTACCATCAGGTGATCCGTCTGCTCGTTTACCTTGTTCTTTTTTTTTACGACGAAACATACTTGCGTTGATATTTGTCGTATGAGTGACGTTACCGAAGGCCCAATTTCCTCCCTCCTCAATTCCCGAATCCCCACCAATCTTAAAACTCCTAATCCCAAAAGCCCAGTAACGCACTTGCAACGCCTTTGGTGTTCCGGGTGTCCATGGGCGATGGCGATTGCTTACCATCAGGTGATCCGTCTGCTCGTTTACCGGCCTATGCCATAAAAAAAATACTTACAACTCCTTATTATTGAGGAGTTGTACCTTCCATCATGAGTTCATTCACATTCACAGAATAATAATTTTATCAGACAATGTCGAAACTCGAATAATAATTAGTAAACAAAAAAATTTAATAAACACCAACGTGTAGCCTTAAATTTTTCTAAAATTCCACCATCAGATCCTGATGATTATGGAACCACGTACGATAAAGCAAACCCTTTCAATCTTTTAAACAAGTTAAAATCACTTTTGCTGAATACTGCTAAAAACCCATAGATTTATAAATATAAAAACCTAAAACATGTCTTCACTATAGCACATAGATAATCAATGAAAACTATTTCTACAAATATCAATTAGTAAGTTTCCAAATGTTACAACACTGAAATGTGGACAGCATTAAAAATTGCGTTCCGAACCATGTATTTTTGTTGCTCGCAACACCACCGAATAAATTGACGAATCGCAGCGTTTTCCAACAAGAACCAAACAAACCGATTCCGACCGATGAGCTTGTCTGTCGTTTTGCAAGGTGTATGCGCGTCTTGTAATTTTTAATCGGATGTTTGTGTATGAAAACAAGTGAAAATACATGTTTTCTTGAATGAAAGTGTGTCCTAACGGCCTAAATATGTTATGAATTAATGAACCAATTACAGTTTATGTGAATTTCAGTGATAAAACGCTCATTTTATCCGTGTCGAAATTACGGAGAGAGCATTCATGTTTATAAATATTGATTTGTTACATATCTTATTTTCTAACTTAATTTTTGCGTCTAAAATCGTGAAGTGAGATGTAGGGGAGTATTAAAACGTGTAAAATATTATTAGTAAACGAAAATGCAACAGTTAGTCCAAAGTTACATGGACGCGATCGATGGTGTAATTTTGTGTTTCGTTTGATTGTGTTTTTGTGTTAAAGTGAGTGTTTTTATGACAATGGAGGGGACTACAGAGAAGGATTGTTCACCGTTATGGAATCTATACCAGCAGATCGTGTCGGACATGAAGGTAGGTCGCTTGGGCTGATATTCTTTGTAGCCTTCCAACCGGTCGCGCGTTCTAGATTCACTAGGAAGCTGTCCCGGTAAACTGCTCGCGTATAACGCAATGTTTGACGCTCCGATAATTATTATTGCCGGTCAGTTTTTAGCACGTTTTCAAATAATATTCATGTGTGGGTAGTTTTAAAAAAAAGTTCGCATTATGATCTGTCTTTGCGCGCATTAACTGTGAAAAAAATCGCCGATTTTCGCCTAGGCTACATCTCCCAAACTCCCAACACTAGAAATATTTAAAAAAATATTGGAAGCCAACTATTTAATGTTTCATTATTTTCTTCAAGTAGGTACTTATAGTAGTTTAGTAGGTGTCACTATTATTTTTTTTATACTATTGTCTATTGATCTATAAAACTAAGAATGGTGACCATAATTAAATCAGGTATCTTTTTAATTATTAATTTAAAATTTGCCATAATATACTAAAGATTAGAATTAATTTTATTCTTGTAAAAAAATACTATCCATACATACTGAGACCTAGTCTATATAAAAATATTGAAGACAAAATTAAAAAAAACAAAATTCTTATTAGATTTTATTTGCCCCACTTGGTGGTCAAAATGGCCATTTTATGATTATGAAACCAGTTAGTCTTGTGGAGTTGCACCCAAAGGTTGGTTCCTATTGATTAAAGCATAACATTTTATAGCCTTCCTGGATGAAAGGACTATCAAACTCAAAAAGAATTAACTATTCAATCCAAACCAAAACTTCAGAACAGAATCAGCACATTTAAGCAAACAAAGAAGTTCTTCAACTTTATAATACTAAGTATAGATTAAACTGTCTAACACCAAGCGGTCACCGGTGACCGCAACCTATTGTTCTTTAATTGTGTCTACAATGACCGTACTCAACGAGTTAAAGTAGAAATTGCAAGCCAGCCAAGTATGGAAATTAAACTATGGTGAACTCCTCTTAATAACTTTATATATATCCAAAAATTTGGTCATGCAAAAGTGGTATCTAAACATCGGAAATAAGGTCTATAATGGAGTTAGAGAAGAGCGATCACCAGCGACCGCTTAGGGATTGATCAATTAAGTTGGTTGGAGGCTCATCATAGTCTAGCATTGGACTGTCATAGATTGTTAATGAGCTGAAGAAGACTTAACAAGTTATCAGGGCTCTGGTTCAAAGAGCAGGAGTAGGAACGGCATGGTTTTTAGTCAATAAGAGTCTCGCCTCTGGCCTCACTCGAGGTGGGAGAAGTCATTGGATAGTAACAAAAGACTATGGCCAGGTTTAAATGGGTACCAAGGTTTTATTAATATTAAGTAGTTATAGTTTGAATAAATAAAACCCAAGATGTCTTTAATGAAATGTTTTTAATTAACATATTAAATTACCTACCATTAGTTGGGTAAATAAATATTATGTCAATATGTCTCTGTCTTCCTGTGTTCTTGAATATATATCTAACTACTATAAATGAGGATTTCTATGACTTTGTTTTTGTTTTCTGTTTTTTTTTAAGTTGGCCCATTGATAGCCGTCGTAGAATTTGTTCCTTTGTGTTGTGGGTGCGTTAATAAACATGCATATTTGTATGCACACCGCATCCAGATACAGAACAACGATGTGTCGATCTTATTAAAAATCATTGTTCCTAAGCAATCGATCCGACTGCCGCGCATCATGTCTCGGGTTCGGTCATCCACAGATAGTTGTTCCGGGTCTGGGTGTTATGTGTATATGAAATTACATGTTTGTAAACGCACCCACAACACAGAGGAAAAACTTCTAATACGGCTATCAGTAGACCAACTTTAAAAAAAAACAGAAAATAAAAACTAACATGCCAGAAAAATCCTCATCTATAGTAGTTAAGTATTTATATCTCTAACCCCCATAAGGCCGAGAAGGCACTTGCAACTCTTCTGGTGTAATTGCTTACCATCAGGCCTTTTGTCCCCGTTATCTAGGTACCTAATTAAATTGTCAATTGTCATCGTGTTACAGTAATTTCTTCAAAAGATATATTTCAATGGCCAAGTAAATAAGTAGATCGTGATAGGGCAGCTGCGATCTTCAAGTTTTCGCGGTATTTCTAAGATATTTTACAACATCTCAACCTTTCACGATTTCATGAGGTTCTTTTGCAGGCTTACCTGTATAACAAGGTAATAACTACCATAATTTTTCATTGTTTAGCTACATAAAACATTAAATAAATAAAATAATAATTACTTACCCATGTAAATATTGGCTGTACGGTTGGCGCGGCTACTGGGCAATTGATGCACTGCCGCGCAATCTGTGTTCCCGCATAGACCCACTCTTTGTGTTATCCACAAATTGTTGTTTCGGGTCTGGATGTCATATGTAACTGTATAAACTTGTGTGTTTGTAAAAAAAATCGCTATAATGGAGGCGAAAAATGTCAGGTGTTTACCGCAAACCTGAAGAGATGACTTGATAATGTTCTATAACTGATGAAGGACTTTAAGCTTTACTTTCTCAAGTATCGAATTCTAA